CTTTTAACTGATAACATCTTGCAACATGCATGTGGGTTAATATTTCCGACGAACCCGTATGTGTTGGTAATTCCGTCGGTAATCACCGACAGTGTTATGTTATCGTAGAAAAATCACCGACGAGATTTTTCTATTCCGTAATTGTTGACCAAAATAATCCGTTGATAAGTAGGGTTACTGATGAAATATTGGCCTTTAGCGACAAAAATATCCATTGCGGAAGTCGCATTTTTTAGTAGTGAATGTTTGAAAACTATATATGAAAATCTAGAAGTGAAAGTTTGGAGCCGTAGTTTATAGTAGAGATTCTTGAACCTGTAGAGTGCATCATTGTTTCTTCCCTTCGAATGAATCTGCTGATTCATACGTCTTCTCCGTGTGAAGCCTCTTTGTTTATCCTTACAACATAATCATCAAAACTTGTGGAAAAATAAAGTTGCTACAATCAAATCCACCTCTACTGACGGTGGATTGCTCATTCTCTCTTTCATTGCGAGCTGTGAGATATATTTGACAAAGCTTCATTTTCACTGGAGCTCGGTCTTATTCCCACCATAATTTTCGAAAGAAGTTGCTATCCTAGATAACTATTTTGGACAACTTGGTTCAGGTAGCACAGCTTACATTATGTATAGTTCTGAGAAAAAACAAAAATGGCATGTTTAATCTCCCTGCGCAACATTGGAGATGTGTATGACAGGTTCGGACATGAAGATGGTTTTTGTTTTTTAAAATAGCACTCAAGCTCTATAACTTTGATGACCAATTCTTCTGGCATGAGAAAGATCCTTCCTAAATTCCACATATATCATTTTGAATTTGAGCCTTATAGTTATTCCATGAATTCCAATCGAAGAAGCTGCAATTTCTACAATTCGTGTCACTAGAGAGGTTGGTTCTATTATGAAAGCAATGAAGCTGCTAGTTATAGTTTAAAAATGTGAATTTCAGCCCATTGATTGATAGGGTTTTAGCATGTTTCTGTCCAAGTAGGTGCCATCAGCTGTCTCATATTTTGGGTAAAATTACATTCACGTGAGATTTGCAAAAGAGATTTCCATTTTTGTATTGCCATAATTAAATGAAATATGATTATCTCATAAAATACACACATGCTCTCTTCTCTCCCGTTATTGTGTAATGTGATATTCAATTTACTTTTAACTGATAACATCTTGCAACATGCATGTGGGTTAATATTTCCGACGAACCCGTATGTGTTGGTAATTCCGTCGGTAATCACCGACAGTGTTATGTTATCGTAGAAAAATCACCGACGAGATTTTTCTATTCCGTAATTGTTGACCAAAATAATCCGTTGATAAGTAGGGTTACTGATGAAATATTGGCCTTTAGCGACAAAAATATCCATTGCGGAAGTCGCATTTTTTAGTAGTGAATGTTTGAAAACTATATATGAAAATCTAGAAGTGAAAGTTTGGAGCCGTAGTTTATAGTAGAGATTCTTGAACCTGTAGAGTGCATCATTGTTTCTTCCCTTCGAATGAATCTGCTGATTCATACGTCTTCTCCGTGTGAAGCCTCTTTGTTTATCCTTACAACATAATCATCAAAACTTGTGGAAAAATAAAGTTGCTACAATCAAATCCACCTCTACTGACGGTGGATTGCTCATTCTCTCTTTCATTGCGAGCTGTGAGATATATTTGACAAAGCTTCATTTTCACTGGAGCTCGGTCTTATTCCCACCATAATTTTCGAAAGAAGTTGCTATCCTAGATAACTATTTTGGACAACTTGGTTCAGGTAGCACAGCTTACATTATGTATAGTTCTGAGAAAAAACAAAAATGGCATGTTTAATCTCCCTGCGCAACATTGGAGATGTGTATGACAGGTTCGGACATGAAGATGGTTTTTGTTTTTTAAAATAGCACTCAAGCTCTATAACTTTGATGACCAATTCTTCTGGCATGAGAAAGATCCTTCCTAAATTCCACATATATCATTTTGAATTTGAGCCTTATAGTTATTCCATGAATTCCAATCGAAGAAGCTGCAATTTCTACAATTCGTGTCACTAGAGAGGTTGGTTCTATTATGAAAGCAATGAAGCTGCTAGTTATAGTTTAAAAATGTGAATTTCAGCCCATTGATTGATAGGGTTTTAGCATGTTTCTGTCCAAGTAGGTGCCATCAGCTGTCTCATATTTTGGGTAAAATTACATTCACGTGAGATTTGCAAAAGAGATTTCCATTTTTGTATTGCCATAATTAAATGAAATATGATTATCTCATAAAATACACACATGCTCTCTTCTCTCCCGTTATTGTGTAATGTGATATTCAATTTACTTTTAACTGATAACATCTTGCAACATGCATGTGGGTTAATATTTCCGACGAACCCGTATGTGTTGGTAATTCCGTCGGTAATCACCGACAGTGTTATGTTATCGTAGAAAAATCACCGACGAGATTTTTCTATTCCGTAATTGTTGACCAAAATAATCCGTTGATAAGTAGGGTTACTGATGAAATATTGGCCTTTAGCGACAAAAATATCCATTGCGGAAGTCGCATTTTTTAGTAGTGAATGTTTGAAAACTATATATGAAAATCTAGAAGTGAAAGTTTGGAGCCGTAGTTTATAGTAGAGATTCTTGAACCTGTAGAGTGCATCATTGTTTCTTCCCTTCGAATGAATCTGCTGATTCATACGTCTTCTCCGTGTGAAGCCTCTTTGTTTATCCTTACAACATAATCATCAAAACTTGTGGAAAAATAAAGTTGCTACAATCAAATCCACCTCTACTGACGGTGGATTGCTCATTCTCTCTTTCATTGCGAGCTGTGAGATATATTTGACAAAGCTTCATTTTCACTGGAGCTCGGTCTTATTCCCACCATAATTTTCGAAAGAAGTTGCTATCCTAGATAACTATTTTGGACAACTTGGTTCAGGTAGCACAGCTTACATTATGTATAGTTCTGAGAAAAAACAAAAATGGCATGTTTAATCTCCCTGCGCAACATTGGAGATGTGTATGACAGGTTCGGACATGAAGATGGTTTTTGTTTTTTAAAATAGCACTCAAGCTCTATAACTTTGATGACCAATTCTTCTGGCATGAGAAAGATCCTTCCTAAATTCCACATATATCATTTTGAATTTGAGCCTTATAGTTATTCCATGAATTCCAATCGAAGAAGCTGCAATTTCTACAATTCGTGTCACTAGAGAGGTTGGTTCTATTATGAAAGCAATGAAGCTGCTAGTTATAGTTTAAAAATGTGAATTTCAGCCCATTGATTGATAGGGTTTTAGCATGTTTCTGTCCAAGTAGGTGCCATCAGCTGTCTCATATTTTGGGTAAAATTACATTCACGTGAGATTTGCAAAAGAGATTTCCATTTTTGTATTGCCATAATTAAATGAAATATGATTTATCTCATAAAATACACACATGCTCTCTTCTCTCCCGTTATTGTGTAATGTGATATTCAATTTACTTTTAACTGATAACATCTTGTAACATGCATGTGGGTTAATATTTCCGACGAACCCGTATGTGTTGGTAATTCCGTCGGTAATCACCGACAGTGTTATGTTATCGTAGAAAAATCACCGACGAGATTTTTCTATTCCGTAATTGTTGACCAAAATAATCCGTTGATAAGTAGGGTTACTGATGAAATATTGGCCTTTAGCGACAAAAATATCCATTGCGGAAGTCGCATTTTTTAGTAGTGAATGTTTGAAAACTATATATGAAAATCTAGAAGTGAAAGTTTGGAGCCGTAGTTTATAGTAGAGATTCTTGAACTTGTAGAGTGCATCATTGTTTCTTCCCTTCGAATGAATCTGCTGATTCATACGTCTTCTCCGTGTGAAGCCTCTTTGTTTATCCATACAATATTATTATCAAAACTTCTTTGAAAATAAAGTTGCTACAATTGAATCCACCCATACTGACGTTGGCTGGCTCCTTCTCTCTCTCATTGCGAGCTGTGAGATATATTTGAGAAAGCTTCATTTTCACTGGAGTTCAGTCTTATTCCTACCTTAACTTTTCGAAAGAAGTTGCTATCCTAGATGATTATTTTGGAGATCTCGGTTCAGGCAGCAAATCTTAGGTTATGGATAGTTTTGAGAAACAATGAAAATGACATGTTTATTCTTCTTGTGCAACATTTATAATGTGTATGACAAGTTTCAACAGGGATTTGGCTTTTGTGTTTTATAATAGCACTCAAGCTCTGCAACTTTGATGACCAATTCTTCTGGTCTTAGAAAGATCCTCCCTAAGTCTAAATGCCATTTTGAATTTGAGCCCTGCGATTATTCCATGAATTCCAATCGAAGAAGCTGCAATTTCTACAATTCATGTTACTTGAGAGGTTAGTTTAGTTATGCAAGCTTTGATGTAGCTAGTTATAGTTCGAAAAATGTGAATTTGAGCCCGTTGATTGAGGGGGGTTTTAGCATGTTTCCGTCCATACAAGTACCATAAGCTGTCTCATATTATGATTAAAATTACTTTCACGTGAGTTTTGCAAAGAGACTTGCATTTTTGTGTTGTATTAATTAAATGAAATATGATTTCTCTAATCAAATACACTCATGCTCTCTTCTCTCCCGTTATTGTGTAATGTGATATTGAATTTGCTTTTAACTGATAACATCTTGCAAAATGCATGTGTGCTAATATTTCTGGTGAACTCGTATGTGTTGGTAATTTGGTTGGTAATCACTAACAGTGTTATGTTATCGTAGAAAAATCACCTACGAGACTTTCATATTTCGGGATGAAGAAAGAAAGAAGCGTGTAGAAGTCTGGTAGAATAGACCATCACATCCTCAATTATAATATATTTCAGGAATTATATGGTTTGGTTTCGAGCGCTATCATTTTGCAAGTCTAATAGTATTGGTTTGTTTATAGATTTCCATATACTGATATGTACAACACATTTTTATTTCAGTTACTCATTATCTTGTTCTTGCTTACCTGCATCACTCCTTTCCTATAATCTAAAATGGTATTGCCAGTCTCTACCATTGGCTTTGAAGGTTATGAAAAGAGACTCAAGATTTCTTTTCCTGAACCTGGAATATTTGCTAGCCTCAGAGGTCGGGGCCTCCGATCTTTGTCCAAATCCCAATTGGATAAAATTCTAGACCCAGCTCAATTCACCATTATGTCTTCATTGTCTAATGATGAAATGGATTCGTATGTCCTATCTGCGTCTGACCTTTTTGTAGACCCGTACAAAATAATAATTAAAACTTGTGGGATTACAAAATTGCTTCTTTCAATCCCACCCATCCTTAAGTTTGCGGATACTCTCAGACTCACTGTGAGTTCTGTTAGATACACTTGTGGAAGTTTCATATTTCCTGGGGCACAGCCATTTCCACATTGTAGCTTTTATGAAGAAGTAGTTGTTCTAGACGGCCATTTTACCCAACATGGGCTAAATAGCAAGGCCTATGTGATGGGTGGTGTCGATGAACGTCAGAATTGGCATATCTACTGTGCATCTGCTACGCCAATGAAAGATTTGAGTCTGGTGTACACCCTAGAGATGTGCTTGACCAATTTGAATGAGAAGAATGCGTTTGTATTTTACAAACTTCAATCAAGCTCGGCAATTGTCATGACTGAAGCTTTTGGCATTAGGAAAATTCTCCCTGATTCTGAGAGTTGTGATTTTGATTTTGATCCCTGCGGCTACTCCATGAATGCTGTTGAAGGGGCTACAATCTCTACAATTCATGTGACTCCCGAGGATGGCTTCAGTTATGCAAGTTTTGAAGCTGTTGGATATGATTTCAAAGTGGTTGACTTGACCCTGCTACTAGAGAGGGTGCTCGCTTGCTTCCAACTAGCAAAGTTTTCCATAGCTTTGCACGGGAAGGAACTTGATATGGACTCGACACGAAATATGAAGGGATATGTATGTGCAAAAAGGAACTTTGAAGTTGTTGGTCATGGTGGATCTATTATCTACTGCAGCTTTATCAGTGTTGGAAACTGCAGCTCTCCAAGGTCAATTCTGCTAGACAAGAACCAGGACGAGGAAGTCAAGAAGAAATAATTGTGAAATGTGGTCCTTGACTTAGTAGTCTTTATATATAGCGTGTTTAATAATAAGAAGATAATGTTAAGACTATTCAATATGTTCAGCGAGGGGGCGCGCTCACGTGTGCTGGCTCCGCCAGAAGCTTAAGTTCTATCCATAGCGACTGGTACTGATAGAAGAAATTAAACATGCAGGAGACAGAGTCCAGGGAGAAGAGTGAAGAAGTTGGGATGAAATAATTTGTTTGAACCTTTTTTTGGCAGTGGGTTTTTGTTTTTGGGCCACCAATTTTTTCTTACTTAAACATCATATAATCAACTAGTCCATTGTCTTCAATTCATTAACCATCTTATTATCAGAAATTCAGAGTTTGAATTCACGACATTTTATCATTTCCAAATTCCAAACCCTTTATGTGCTTTGTCGCCCGTGAATGTGACTGATCGCCAACTACCATAGTGCCGTCGATTGCTGTTGTGAGCCGGTAAGCGCCTCTATTCTTTTTTTTGTGAGCTTTTGTGAACATTTGTGTTAAGATTGTAATTGTCGGCTCCACTGCCAATTGAACATTTGAGTGCCTCTGTAATTTTTTTTTATTGGTGATTTAGTATGTTAAATGTGATATTATGATTTATGAAAATTGGGGAGTTTGTAAATTTTGTGAATATGTGAATTTGTGACTGTAAATTGGGAATTTTATGATTTGCGATAAATTTTCAATTGGTGTTGGAAATTAAAAATTGGAAATTGATGTTTGTTCAAGATAAAGTTTAATTAATATTTTATTTTCGTACAAATTATGGAACGATTTTTTCAATCGAATCGAAAGTCTCAATCTATCGCAGAACTAAAACTCATATGAGTTTTGATTTGTGGTTTGGGAATTTAGGTTTAGAAAATTAGGGATAAGTGAAAAAATAGGAGATGATTGGTTGAATGACAATTTTATGGTTTACGTGGAGAAAGAGATTTTTGGAAAAGTTGAGAATGTGGCAATATTGCAACGTTTTCAAAATATGAGACCCCATAGAATTTAGTTGTCTAAGTTCATAGTTACAGATTAAAGTTGTATCAAGTATTTTTTTATTTTATTTTATTTTGGGTTGTTATGAATTATATTTTTATATGCATAGATTTTTTCCGCTTTAGTATATTTACATATATATTGAAGAATGTTTAATATTATTTAATTGAATTAATATAAACGACATCGCTATTACGATATTTGATTGTCAACGGTCAACGTCCGATCCTATATTGGCCACTGTCTATATTATACTCAATATAACATGAATGAATACTATTGTTCATTATAGATCATAAAAGATCATGTAGGTATAACGAAACAAAATCAAACAATACACTAGATCTTATTAGTCTTTAAACACTTGCGGTGGACAAAATACATTATATTGAAAAATATCCTATCTTCTACATACATGGGATCTACTTTGCATTACATCCAATAGATATACCTATCTATTGGAATGTATTTTGCTACACAAGAGCTTGTATTTTAACATAAATTATAAATTAAATCAATCAAACGCTTGGATATGCTAGAGTGGACAAAAGAAGAAAACTTGGGAAGATATCAACATTACAAATTAAATCATTAGTTGTTTTGGTCATTTAATATTCCGTACTACGTACTTAACATGTTATGAGAGCACATGAAATATCAAGAAACAAACCCTGGAAACAATTTGTCACGCGTTTCTTGGATTAGCTGAAATTTATTTAAATAAGTGGTTAAAGATAAGACATGAACCATGGACATGAGAAAAGTCAAGTTGGTCCCCTTATTGTTGTTCTTGAGTGTTGTCTCTCTCTAAAATCTCAATTTGTTGGCTTTTGTTGGAAAATTGGATGTTTTGTGTGTAGAAATATTATCAATTAACACAACAAAATAACAAATACAATTCAAGAATAATATAATGTAAAATAGAGAAGAGATTTAGAAAGCAAGCCTTGGGAGTCACGTTAAGGACGCTGTTTTAAAGTCGTGTTGCTTCCCCTTCGTGCGGGTTCTTTCGGCACTACACGACTCCAAGATAAAATCCATGTGTCTTTCCTTCTACGAGCATGACTATAGGGAGATAACTAAACGAGTCTCTCATCTAGTTGCCAAAATTTAAGAATATAGTATAAATTAAATAGAATATTTTCCTTCCAAGTTATTGTATTCTAATGCTCATTTTCAATGAGATGTAACAATCTTTTATAGGTAGAAATCAACCCCCCACAATCAAGTCATTAAAATAGAGGTTATAACATGAATTATGATGTTATAATTGTGTTAAAAGTGATTATTAAATAAATAAAAATAGAAAATTAAATGGGTTAAATATTGAAAGGTTAAAACTTTATTTTAAGTTACAACAATCCCCCACAAGTTTTAAACTTTCAAAATAATTAAAATTATATAATAGTGGCAATATAATACTGTGCAATAGGTGTAAATATCTTTTGGACTTGAATCTCACTTAGTGATAACAATTTTCTTTTGAGGGAGCCATAATGGACTAAGCTTTGAATTATGTCCCTTTGGCCAAACTTCAATTGTCTCACACACAGTATCGAATTAGGCTCTAGTTCATAGCGGATAGTGCTTTTAATAGTCATGCGCTTTAATCTTGATTTTAGTAAAAGTCTCTAAGGAATAGTCCAATCCCATAGCCACGACCTCATGGCAACCCTTACATAGATGAGTCCTCCAAGGATGTGTGTGACCCACACCTCACAAAAATTCTCGCCTCGGTACTTATTCAGGGTTAAACCCTTCTTAATATCACATTTATTAGCACCATCACCATAGGGATGAGCACAAATAAAATAATGCTATTACAAATCACACAATACGGGTTGTTTTTACAACATTGAACTTTTTTCATGGGATCTTCAATCACAAATGTTGGGTTACTCCCGGAGGTGACTCCTTTATGGGCTTAAGCTCATCCCCCTCGATAATTATAATTTATTTCATGTCCCTCTTGGACAATAATTGGTACCATAATATTTACAAATTTTTATTCTCCGATTGCGATCCACACACTTCTCGTAGCATGTTCGAACGTATGCGTCCATTCAACTCTTGTATTTCACCTACAATCTTTAGATTTAACACGAAGACTTTATTCAAAGCAATGATTTTACCATTAAGTATAAGAATAAAATATAAGGTGTATCTGTATTAAACACCTCCACAGATATCCAGATTCAAGAACTTTCTTTCCCATTAGCTCTAGATCTAAATCTAGAGCTATGTTTAATCTTATCCTTATTATGGTAATTATACATTTCTAGTTGAGATCAAGTAACATGGAAGCTCATTAGAAAAATGCCAATAATTTAAGTCCATCATCTCAGGTCATTCGGGGAATACAAACCATCGAAGCAAACTGCTTTATTTTTCAATGCAGTCACATAAACCAATCACAGGACATATGGTAAAAATCAACCAAATCTCAGGATATCAATTTCTATCTTACTTACAAATTGTAACGAATCAAATTATTCAACTATATTAACTTCCGATGAATGTAAAGTCTATAGCATCAGCACAGTATGTGCACAGATAAATGTGCACCATTTATAATTCAATTATTACTATTCATTCTATTCGTTAATTTTGCAAAACATAACTTTAAGGAGCTCAATATACCTCTAATCAAATAACAATAAAATTATATCTCAATCTACCATTGCCCAAACTATAACTGATAGAGTCACTCGCTATCAGCTGTAGAGTAGTGCCTTAGAATTATAGCTTCTATATGTAAGCTTCATATTTTACAACAATTAATTTTCTTCACTCATAAATTTTTGGCCATCATTAGAACCGATCGACCACTTTGATATGATTTCAGATTCTATTCTTCTATTAATCTTTAACAAACTTGGGGATGTCAAGTCCTTCTACAAAAAATTGCTAAATAAGAAATCACTAATGCATCAATTAATAATGGTATTGGGTGTAGAAGTTTCTTTCTTCTTCTATAATTTATTTTCCCTTCATCCTCTATATTGGCAATTCCATTTACCAAACAATTATTTATTTATTTTTCCATGATACTATACCAAACATAAAATTACATTACTAATAATTGACAAACTATTCTAAAATAACAGTTGAAGTTAGAAACATTCACTCTGAAAATTAAATTTTGAAATCAAACTTGTATTTATAAATTTGTAACTCCAAAACTGAAAATAATTAAATCCCAAATAAATTAGAAATATGATGAAAATTAAATGCTTTGAAATTTATAATAATACTATTATTGTGTTATTATAATCCTATTTAGTACATATAACAATTCTTTCATGGTCATTATGAAAATACTTAAATCTTAAAATAGTAAACACCAACATTTAATCAGTCATTAGTGATTTCATTTATTAGGATTTAAGCAAAAGGAAATAATAAGGATTTCATATAACCAGCGAGGTATAGATTTTTCGATTAGTGATCTGTATCACCATTGTCTACTTCTTAAATACGTACCTTTTGTCAACTTTTCATCATACACGTAGAATAGTCTTTACTTTGAGTTGTGTACTACTTTATAACCAACAAATTGCATATATATTATTAACCCTAAATTTTAGTATCATAACGTACTAAAGAAATGACTAACAACATAGGCATTATTAAGTGTTTTTCTTTTCTTTTTCAATAAATAGCCTAGACAACACGAAGTAAGTACTAAGCTTGTTTGTGGAACCAATAAGCATATCCAAGTAGTTTTAGAATTCTAAAGGAAACTTTATGGTGGAAGAGGCATATACTTTTGAAGTTTCAGAATCTCACTTCAGTTATATTTGTGCTTTATATTTTTATTTTCCTATTGTCATTGTAAAACTGCTCACAAGATACACATTCAATTATGCTCCATTAGAGAGAATATATGAATGTTAATAAATTTAACCGTGTATAATTATGACATAACTTGGCTAGTGTAATTGCTTCTACAGACACTCTCTGCTTGGTAAGTTTTTAAAGTTGCGAGTGT